CTCTCACTCACTCTCACTCACTCTCTCACTCTCTCACACTCTCTCTCTCACTCAGTCACTCACTCACTCACTCACTTTCTCACTCACTCACTCACGCACGCACGCACGCACTCACTCACTCACTCACTCATCACTCTCACTCACTCCCTTCTCCGCCGCTCTGCCGCCCACACTATGCAAACCAGATCTCACTTGAAAAGACAACTTGGGCCTTCCTCCTTGCTTTCCTCCGAAACTGGAAATGGCCCGCGCCCTAATTGTCTCCAAGGTACAAGAGGGAGCCCATGGTGCTGAAAATGGACAGGATCAGACCTCTCAATGCCTTGCGAACAAAGGATGGCACGCAGTGTTCGATGGCTGCAGAGGTGGCATGATGGTGCTCACCTCATGGATGCAAGATGATCCCAAGTCATGTCAATCTACCTACCGATTCAAAAATTATCCTCGATGTTTGGATGGGGACGGTAACAACCTCTTCGTTAAGCTGCCTGTCAAATCAACCCGGTGAACGAACAGAAGGAACAAATCCTGCCCCAGGCACACTGAAGTAGCGGAAGACTCGGATAAGTCGAACTCCGCGAAGGGTTCTGGCTAAGCGCAGCGCCCGCATTATGCCTCTCAAATCAACATCTACCAGGGCTACGGCACAGGGCAGCTACCAACAGTCAAATTTCCACCTGCAATTGTTTTTTTCAAGGATTGCCAGATATAACCCCTACACACTAGAAAAGAGTGGATACACTGCCCAACTAAGACGGTGGTTTGAGATTGTGATATCGGGATTGATCATCCCGACGTACCTGCAATTTTCCATTTTTCATTTTGTCGTCAATGGCCACTGGCCAAGCCCAGAACCGGCATGTCGCTTTTCCAACTATTTTCAAACCAAACAACTGTACGGTTTTCGCAATCTGACTGAGTTGCTTCTGAACATGTTAACCCTTCGAGCAAGGACGTAGAAAGAATACCTTCGCACAGTTTCTCATTTCTAATCATTCAACCGTTCCTGTCAGGTTTACTGAGGTGTTTTTCGCATGTGCGCTGCATTCCACATCAGTAATTCGATAAGATGTTTCTGAGCAAGTGTGTGTTTTATTCATTTATTTATTGATTGATTTATTTATTTACTTATTTAATTATTTTTGTACTTATTCATGTATATGATATATGCTTGGTTGTAAAAATTTGGTATTATTTCATGTTTTACTTATTTATGTATGTATTTATTTATTTACCTATGCAATTATTTATTCATATACATACATACACATTTTAAACTAGACGACGGATGGCCCGAGAGCGTAGAGGAGCAGGGTCTTCTCTTGTTAGTATGGAGACACAATTTTACAAACAATATATGAAAGATGTGTTATAGGCAGTCGAGAAGAGGAGTAGCAAGACAAAATAGTGAGAAGTGCAAGACAATAGTTTGCATCGCAAACACTTTTACACACAGACGCTTTTACACACAAAAGCTTTTACACACAGAAGCTTTTACACACAGAAGCTTTTACACAGAGACTATTACACACAAAGCTTTTACCCACAGAAGCTTTTACATACAGATGCTTTTACACACAGATGTTTTTACACACAGACGCTTTTACACGGACACTGTTACACACAGACACGTTTACACACAAACACTTTTACACACAGACCTTTTTACACACAGGAGCTACTTTTACACACAAACGCTTTGACACACAGAAGCTTTTACACATAGACGCTTTTACACACAGGCACTTTTACGCACAAACACTTTTACACACAAACACTTTTACACACAGACGCTTTTACACGCAGACGCTTGTACACACAGAAGCTTTTACACACAAACACTTTTACGCAGAAACACTTTTACACACAGACGCTTTTACACACAGATGGCTTTACACACAAGCGCTTTTACACACAATCACTTGTACACACAGACGCTTTTACACAGAGGCCGGCCCATGTAGTCACAGCGAAGTCATCGTTGTCGTGGCGACCTCAGCAATCCGACGGGGTGGTGTGGCGAAGTCCTATTTCCATGTGCCTCGAAACATCTTTACACCGAAACACTCCGATACACAAACATGTTTACACTTCTGCACACACACACCATTTTACACAGAGACGCTTTAACACACAAACCCTTTTACACACAGACACTTTTACACACAAAAGCTTTTACACACAGACACTTCTGCACAGACGCACTTCTACACACAAACACTTTTACACACAAACATCTTCACACAGAAACACTCTTACACACAAACCCTTTTACACAGAGACACTTTTACACACAAAAGCTTTGACACACAAACACTTTTACATAGATGCACTTGTACACACAAACACTTTGACACACAAACCTCTTTACACCGAAACACTCCGACACACAAACACGTTTACACACAAAGACTTTTACACACAGAAGCTTTTACACACAAACACTTTTAAACAGATGCAATTTTACATACAATCACTTTTACACTCAAACATCTTTACACAGAAACACTCGTACACACAAACCCGTTTACACACAAAGACTTTTACACACCGAAGGTTTTACACACAACACTTTTACACAGATTCACTTGTACACACAAACACTTTGTACACACAAACACTTTTACACACAAACATCTTTACACAGAAACGCTCGTACACACAAACCCCTTTTCGTGCGAAAGGGTTGCTCCGGCACAAGGAAAATCGCAATTTTACCTCAGTTTTTGCCGATCGACCCTCATTTCGCGCGAAAGGGTTGCTCCGGGACAAGTCAAATCGCAATTTTACCTCAGTTTTTGCCGATCGACCTTCATTTCGTGCGAAAGGGTTGCTCCAGCACACGTAAAATCGCAATTTTACCTTAGTTTTTGCCGATCGACCCTCATTTTCGTGCGAAAGGGTTGCTCCGGGACAAGTCAAATCGCAATTTTACTTCAGTTTTTGCCGATCGACCTTCATTTCGTGCGAAAGGGTTGCTCCAGCACACGTAAAATCGCAATTTTACCTCAGTTTTTGCCGATCGACCCTCATTTCGTGCGAAAGGGTTGCTCCGGGACAAGTCAAATCGCAATTTTACCTCAGTTTTTGCCGATCGACCCTCATTTCGTGCGAAAGGGTTGCTCCGGGGCAAGTCAAATCGCAATTTTACCTCAGTTTTTGCCGATCGACCCTCATTTCGTGCGAAAGGGTTGCTCCAGGACAAGTCAAATCGCAATTTTTCCTCAGTTTTTGCCGATCGACCTTCATTTCGTGCGAAATGGTTGACGTTTCGTGACTCGCCGCCGGCACCACCCTCGGCCTCAAGAGAGAAAGATAAAAAGAAGGCGAGAGAGAGAAAAAGGAGAGAGAAAGGAGAGAAGATGTGAAGGTGAGAAGATGTGAGAGAAGGTGTGAAGATGAGCAGATGTGAAGATGAGCAGATGTGAGAGAAGATGTGAAGATGAGCAGATGTGAGAGAAGATGTGAGAGAATATGTAAGAGAAGATGTGAAGATGAGCAGATGTGAGAGAAGATGTTAGAGAAGATGTGAAGATGAGCAAATGTGAAGATGAGCAGATGTGAAGGTGAGCAGATGTGAGAGAAGATGTGAGAGAAGATATGAAGAAAGATGAGCAGATGAGAGAAGATGTGAGAGAAGATGTGAGAGAAGATATGAAGATGAGCAGATGTGAAGATGAGCAGATGTGAGAGAAGATGTGAGAGAAGATGTGAGAGAAGATATGAAGAAAGATGAGCAGATGTGAGAGAAGATGTGAAGATGAGCAGATGTGAAGATGAGCAGATGTGAGAGAAGATGTGAAGATGAGCAGATGTGAAGATGAGCAGATGTGAAGATGAGTAGATGTGAAGATGAGAAGGTGTGAAGATGAAAAGGTGAGATACAGACCCCCACTATTGGAAGAACCCTGCGCTCAGACGCTCTCGGGAAAAAAGGTTCAAAGGGCAGACTTGCGCAGGATCTTGCAGCTCAAATTGGCTGTATGGTCTATCGTAGGCCACTTGGTCAAGGCACGAAAGGAGTTGGAGCCATCAGCAGAACTGGACATGGTCTGCGCCAACCAATCGATGACGGTTTCAGCCACTGACAAGGAGACCTCAGATGAATGAGCCCACTGAGAGCAGTGGTGGAATCCGAAAAACCTATCAAAAGATTAAGTGAATCATTCGGACCATCCCATTTTCAGGTGGAGAATCAGCATGTTCTGAAAAATATGAACCTAGACCGCAAAAGTGCGGGCCAGAAGGTTTGTAAGGGTCATTCACGCGGACCTCTTTGTGAGGTTTGCACAGTGAATGCTGCGAGCAAGGGCTGCACCAGAACACTTTCTCTGGGCTGAAACCTGTTAGCTAGTTTTGCTAGGGAAAAAGGGGTTGAGAGCTTCAAACCCCCTTAGTTATGGCAGTTTTGGAGCATTGGAAACCAAAACTACGGATTTTCCCTATGGAATTGCGAACATAAAACTTCGAAATGCCAGCTATGATTATTCCCATAGGAAAATTTGATTTCGGTGATTGATGACAAAATAAAAATGCTTTCTATACATTTCTATAACACACCGCATGGGCAGGGGACCTAGTTCCTGTATGGTGACTAGCTGGGATTGACAACACCGCCCATATTAGACAAGCCCGTCTCCGCCCGGATTTTTGGGGCGACCCCGGGTCTGTAACAGTGACCACAACTGGACAGCACGACCGGAGCACCACAAAAATGTTCCAAATCGGGTTTATCTCTGATAAAAAGTCCCAAAATATAGCCATGTTCAAATCATTTTTTTTCCACTACCCCTGCGGAAGCTGCAGCGTGGCATCCCTATTTGGATGCTTCATCCAACCACTTCAGAGCGGACTGGATGGCATGAAAGCTGCTATTGTCTTGATTTTTTTTGCTTAATGTTTTTTTAAACCGTCTTACTATTGTGTGTTTGATGAAAATACAGTAGAAGAAACAAATGAATCATAACTGCAACTTGAAAATAAGAAATCGAAGCTTTTTGCTCCAGCAGTTTTCACTTCCTCCCTACTCCAAATCAAAGTTTCGCAAGCAATCGCCGCTTGCAGTTGAAAATTAGCTGCAAAAAAAATGATTGCGCTTGCTGTTTGATACATGAATTATTCGGATTTTATTGTTCCAAGACTAAGAAACAGCGTTTGAATCATCATGCCCCTACGACTACGAAATACGGAGGTTATATGATGCATGGCCTTTATACTAGATAGTAATATATCATAAATAAATGAATACACATAATGTATACCTTATTTTTCGTTTTAAAAAATCTGTTGTTATAATCATTGTTATTTAAATTATGCTTTTATTACCAGATCTCATAATAGTAGTCAATTCTGAAGAACTAAAATCAAAACTTAATACCGGAATCGAAATGATCCGGCTCCTTTTAGTAAATCCAAAACAAAGGCTGGTAGGCTACAGTGAACTTCGGCAGACAAACGGCTCTAGCTGGCTGGCGCCTCCCCTGGCTGGCTGGGTGAGCTGGCAAAATGAAAATAATTGAAAATGAGACTCCCTAGAAAAAACACGTTTTTTGCTGATTTTCTAATGCTCCTTTTGTCGTCTCTGATTGTGCTTTCTGGTGCTTCATTTGTGCTCTCTGATTGGGCTTGCTGGTGCTCCGTTTTGGCAAAACCTCTGGCCTCTCTGGTGTTTATTTGTGCTCTCTGATTGGACTTGCTGGTGCTCCGTTTTGGCAAAACCTCTGGTCTCTCTGGTGCTCCTTTTGTGGTCTCTGACTGTACTTTCTGGTGCTCCATTTGTGCTCTCTGATTGGACTTGCTGGTGCTCCGTTTTGGCAAAACCCCTTGTCTCTCTGGTGCTCCTTTTGTGGTCACTGATTGTACCTTCTGGTGCTTGATTTGTGCTCTCTGATTGGGCTTGCTGGTGCTCCGTTTTGGCAAAACCTCTGGTCTCTCTCGTGCTCCTTTCGTGGTCTCTGATTGTACTTTCTGGTGCTTGATTTGTGCTCTCTGATTGGGCTTGCTGGTGTTCCGTTTTGGCAAAACCTCTGGTCTCTCTGGTGCTCCTTTTATGGTCTCTCATTATACCTTCTGGTGCTTCATTTGTGCTCTCTGATTGGACTTGCTGGTGCTCCGTTTTGGCAAAACCTCTGGTCTCTCTGGTGCTCGTTTTGTGGTCTCTGATTGTATTTTCTGGTGCTTCATTTGTGATCTCTGATTGGGCTTGCTGGTGCTCCGTTTTGGCAAAACCTCTGGTCTCTCTGGTGCTCCTTTCGTGGTCTCTGATTGTACTTTCTGGTGCTTCATTTGTGCTCTCTGATTGGGCTTGCTGGTGCTCCGTTTTGGCAAAACCTCTGGTCTCTCTGGTGCTCCTTTCGTGGTCTCTGATTGTACTTTCTGGTGCTTCATTTGTGCTCTCTGATTGGACTTGCTGGTGCTCCGTTTTGGCAAAACCTCTGGTCTCTCTGGTGCTCCTTTTGTGGTCTCTGATTGTACTTTCTGGCGCTTCATTTGTGCTCTCTGATTGGGCTTGCTGGTGCTCCGTTTTGGCAAAACCTCTGGTCTCTCTGGTGCTCCTTTTGTGGTCTCTGATTGTACTATCTGGTGCTTCATTTGTGCTCTCTGATTGGACTTGCTGGTGCTCCGTTTTGGCAAAACCTCTGGTCTCTCTGGTGCTCCTTTTGTGGTCTCTGATTGTATTTTCTGGTGCTTCATTTGTGCTCTCTGATTGGGCTTGCTGGTGCTCCGTTTTGGCAAAACCTCTGGTCTCTCTGGTGCTCCTTTTGTGGTCTCTGATTGTACTTTCTGGTGCTTCATTTATGCTCTCTGATTGTACTTGCTGGTGCTCCGTTTTGGCAAAACATCTGGTCTCTCTGTTGCTCCTTTTATGGTCTCTTTCTGATGCTTCCTTTGTGCTCTCTGGTTGGACTTGCGGTGCTCCGTTTTGGCAAAACCTCTGGTCTCTTGGGCTTGTTGGTGCTCCGTTTTGGCAAAACCTCTGGTCTCTCTGGTGCTCCTTTTGTGGTCTCTGATTGTATTTTCTGGTGCTTCATTTGTGCTCTCTGATTGGGCTTGCTGGTGCTCCGTTTTGGCAAAAGCTCTGGTCTCTCTGGTGCTCCTTTTGTGGTCTCTGATTGCACTTTCTGGTGCTTCATTTGTGATCTCTGATTGGGCTTGCTGGTGCTCCGTTTTGGCAAAGCCTCTGGTCTCTCTGGTGCTCCTTTTGTGGTCTCTGATTGTACCTTCTGGTGCTTGATTTGTGCTCTCTGATTGGACTTGCTGGTGCTCCGTTTTGGCTAAACCTCTGGTCTCTCTGGTGCTCCTTTCGTGGTCTCTGATTGTATTTTCTGGTGCTTCATTTGTGCTCTCTGATTGGACTTGCTGGTGCTCCGTTTTGGCCAAACCTCTGGTCTCTCTGGTGCTCCTTTTGTGATCTCTGATTCTACCTTCTGGTGCTTCATTTGTGCTCTCTCATTAGGCTTGCTGGTGCTCTGTTTTGGCAAAACCTCTGGTCTCTCTGGTGCTCCTTTTGTGGTCTCTGGTTGTACCTTCTGGTGCTTCATTTGTGCTCTCTGATTGGACTTGCTGGTGCTCCGTTTTGGCAAAACCTCTGGCCTCTCTGTTGCTCCTTTTGTGCTCTCTTTCTGGCGCTTCATTTGTGCTCTCTGGTTGGACTTGCTGGTGCTCCGTTTTGGCAAAACCTCTGGTCTCTCTGGTGCTCCTTTTGTGATCTCTGATTCTACTTTCTGGTGCTTCATTTGTGCTCTCTGATTGGACTTGCTGGTGCTCCGTTTTGGCAAAACCTCTGGTCTCTCTGGTGCTCCTTTTGCGGTCTCTGGTTGTACTTTCTGGTGCTTCATTTGTGCTCTCTGATTGGACTTGCTGGTGCTCCGTTTTGGCAAAACCTCTGGTCTCTCTGGTGCTCCTTTTGTGGTCTCTGATTGTACTTTCTGGTGCTTCATTTGTGCTCTCTGATTGGACTTGCTGGTGCCCCGTTTTGGCAAAACCTCTGGTCTCTCTGGTGTTTACTTTCTGGTGCTTCATTTGTGCTCTTTGATTGGGCTTGCTGGTGCTCCGTTTTGGCAAAATCTCTAGTCTATCTGGTGCTCCTTTTTTGGTCTCTAATTGTATTTTCTGGTGCTTCATTTGTGCTCTCTGATTGGGCTTGCTGGTGCTCCGTTTTGGCTAAACCTCTGGTCTCTCTGGTGCTCCTTTCGTGGTCTCTGATTGTACTTTCTGGTGCTTCATTTGTGCTCTCTGATTGGACTTGCTGGTGCCCCGTTTTGGCAAAACCTCTGGTCTCTCTGGTGCTCCTTTTGTGGTCTCTGATTCTGGTTTTTTTTGCAAAGCGTACACGGCGACAAGGACAGCCAAAATTGGCCAACTTTGCCATGGACAGGCTGTCTCCCAAAGGTGTTTTTCGGCGCCTCCCCTGGTGCTCCGTTTGATCCTTTCTGGGCGTGCCTCTGCTGGTGCTCCGTTTGTGGCCTCTCCGTGTGCTTTTTTTGATTTTTACTTTGCGTTGTTGCATCAATCAAAAAATATGCCCGATTTAGCATGAGTTTAGGGTTTTGGATTTAGGGCTTAGGATTTTGCATGGCCGACCATACCATGTGACCGGCGGCAACATATCATAGAATCATATCCATGGAGCCCATGGCCTAAATCATTGTTGAACCCAAATGATCACACAACACAACCTATGTCACACGTCATATTAATATTACTAGTTATGAGTCATATGATTTACTTTGTCAATTGAAGAAATTTACAAAAATGTGAATCATACTAATATCATATCATTGATATCATGTTTCAAATTCCATTTGCTGATGCTGCCAATACTGTGTCAAACAAGACAGATTCATTGCTTGTGGAATAATTTATGCTAAGCAATGATTCAATGAGATGTCAAAGCAATGGGATGTCAAAGCAATATAGGGGATCCCAGTCTGGAAACTTTGGGGGGAGACCAATGAGCTGGACACCAACTCCAAGCCACCTGATAAAACAAACGTCAGGGAAAAGAGGACCAAGACAAAGGGTTTGAAAACACAAAATGGAATGATGTCATTTCTTACCCGGGCTCCGAAAACTTAATGCCATTCTGGGCTATTTTCCTGATGCTTCATTTTGCTTCTCTGATATGTGGAAATCCATTATTTGGCTGTTACAAGGGGGGGGCACATCCGAAGCGATACCAAAATCAATTAAGTGGTGCGACTGCCCCCCCTATTAGATAAGCCCCGTTCCGACCCCCAGGCTTATACTGGTTCAAATTTAATATGTGCCCCTTTGATTTTTAATTAGGCTGCAATTTTCAACATTACTCATTGACCCTTCACTATCTCATCCCGTTGCATCTATACAATTCACATTTGCTGCGCCTCTTCATTGTCTCAAATCTCTCACGCGGTTTGTTTCACTACAAAAACATTGTCTTACAAAAAAACATTCAAAAAAAACTGAATAATCTATATATCTCTTGCTACTTTTCGCAAGAAATGATTGTTTTGGAAGCTCTCACAGGGGGTACCCCACATGAGTGGTGTCCTCGCCCTCGCCCCTCCCCCTCAATTAATCCAACCCATCTGATCCCCCTGTAGTGTCCCCAGGTGGGGTTGGGGACCCTAAACCGAAATAATGTTTAACATAAAATTATAGGTACCCAACCATGTTGGAAAAACATGGGAAACAACATATTTATACATGAATTCCTCCATCCTGACTGAAAATTATTTGGCAAAATCTTCAAAATAAAAATAACATAAAATCTAGTTGGGTACCCAAGGGTGCCAGGAAAATAAAATGCCAGGTACCCAATGAAGGTGAGCCAGGTTGTCCCAAGGACTTCCAAGCCCAAAAAATAAAATAATTCTGGGGTACCCAAGGTCTCCATGTTCTCCCTTTGCATCCTTTATTTTTTGCAGCGCCTTTCATCTTGATTTTGATCATATCGAAGCACTCTGCGCACTTGCAAATCGTACAGACCAAGCATCAAAATACCAAAAGCCATTATCATCATTATCCAACAAGTCTTGTTCATAAAATGCAGATTGTTGTGAAAAATATAAATATGACTTTTTCTCACTTGTTCATTTTTGGTTTTCCATTTTGTTTCCTGTTCCCTGCTGTTCCCTGTTGTAGTGACATTGTGTTTTCTCATTTTCACATGTTTTATTGTTTTATTGTTATTTTTCTTTCTGTTATCATATTTTAGTAAAGTTTTATTCTGGTTTCCCCATTATAAAAGTGACATTTCTCATTTTGCATCATTTCCCCGTTGCTGTTCTCCCCGTTGTACCCGTTGTGTCCGTTGGTCCCCGAGATCCGAGCCGGGGAATCTCGGGGATCCACCAGAGGCGCATTGGGGAGATAGCTCACGGCAAAGCGCAATGGACACAACGGGTAAAACGGGTAAGGCACAACGGGGAGAACACCAACGGGGAAATGATGCAAAATGAGAAATGTCACTTTTATGGTTTGTAAACAAATAAACTTAAACCATGTAGAATACACGTTGTCTTCTTAATAGTTGTTATATAAAGGTCTACATGCTGTGATGTTTAGGGTGGGTTATGTATCATTGTTTTTGTGTATATAATATATATATGATACATATATATATATTATATTATATTATATTAATTTATTTATTCATTTATTTATATATATATATACAGATACATTATATTATATGAAGAATTGTTCACAATGTGCTATTTTTTGGGCGCCCAAAATGAACAAAACACCTGGCTCAAAATAAAATCATAGGTACCCTACCTGCTTAGCTGCATTTGTCCCCAAGGGGGAGTCAACCAGTATATCCAAAATAAAATCATAGGTACCAAACTTACTTATCCCCAAATGAGGCTACCTAGGCTGGGGACTTCAGGTACCCAAGCCCATTTGATTTTTGAAAAAAAAAAGGCCAAAATAAAATAGAAATGGACTCTGTGGGAGCCTCTTGGAGGACCCCAAGACCCCAAAATTTATTTTGGAGCACCGGAGGAGGATCCATCTGAGCTTCGTGGGTTTTTTGTTTATTTACTATTGCTTTTTTCATGTCCTTTTCCATTATTTTCCTTTTTTTCTTCTCATCATCCTTTTGTGTTGTCGTTTTCTATGTTCCTTTTCCTTTTTCTTCTCATACTCTTTGCGTGTTATCCTTTTCCTTGCAGAGGTATACTGACTTTTTTTGACTGCACCCTCCACACAGACCTTAAGTAGTTTTTTTGACCCCCGAATCGACCTTGTTGACCCTGTTGACCTTCTGGGCTGGGGGGTGCGGGTTATTGGTCCGGGTTTCCCATTATGTTACATGCACACTGTTGAGTGCCCTTTGGATCCTTGTGGCACAACTTCTCCAATGCGAGGGGCAATGACAAAGTCAAATCCATTCCAGAGGCATTCCTCGCCCTTCCAGAATTCATTGCAGCCCACAGCCAGGAGTTTCAAGATCGTTTCAGTCACGAAAATAAAGACCAGGATCGTGTTCACGATTCCGAACCACAGTGGCACCTGTCGGCTGGCTGTTGGCACATCCTGGCATGAATATTTTCACTGCACCCGTTGGTTTCATGTCGCTTATGCTTAACGTTTGACATGACACTGACTGATTGCAAAAAGGCTCCCAGAACACTGCAGACCTAGAGCACCGCACCGCTTCTGACACTTCTGTACCACGTAAAGTTGTCAATTCTCGGTGGTCCTTTTAAAAGACTGGAAAAACTTGCGAAAGCAGCTGGAATGGGAAACGTACGAACTTGTCTCCAAAATGCTTTGGGGATCTTTACTCAAAATTATAGGACTAAATATATAACCCCACATGTTAACAACTTCTCCAGACTTAGACTGAGCACAGAAAAGGTGGGTGAGTTTGTGTGTATGTATGTATGTATGTATGTATGTATGTATGTATGTATGTATGTGCATGTACAGGTGTGTCACTTTGGTAGTGTGTTAACGATATGTGTACCGGGTGTAAGAGGCAGTTTGTAACATATGTGATGTACATGCGGATGTTATACGTATGCGTATGTGTGTGTGAGGTGATATTATTTTCGTGTGATGTGAGGTTGGGTGGTAGTAATGTAAATGCATGCAAACGTAAATATACTGATCTTGTTGCATGTGACGTGAAGTTATGATGCGTCAAGTGATGTTTTGGTATGTGATGTTGTGATGATGTACATGTGCTGTGTTCATGTTGTGCGTGTCTGTGTACATATATATATATATATATATGTGTGTGTGTACGTGAGTGCGTGGTTGTGCGTGTGTATGGTCATATGGTGATATGGTGATATGTTTGCGACATATATATAAGAATCCGATGATGTATGTTTCAGTTCATATGTATATATAAGCCTCCCGTCGCTTTGCAGATTTTTTTGCTTCTAGGCATATCGGTTGTCCAAGTGCCAAGACCAGCATCATGACCTGAGCAGACACCCCATGAATAGACAAGCCATGACAAGCTCACAAGCAATCAATCTGAATGAGCTGAGTTGATACATCGCTGTGCCCTGCTTCTGAACAGCCATATGTTTTTTCTGGTCAACCTCAACAAATCTGCACGCAAAAGCTACCGGCAGAGCGGCGGAGACCGGAGGGACACCGGGGCGTACATCCGACCCCTTTGCAGTGCACCAAGCCCCGCGCTGCCACGCAAAAGCCACCGGCGGCGGAGACCAAGGGACACCGGAGGGACACCGGGGCGTACATCCGACCCGGGTGGGTGGGTGAGTGGGTGAGTGGGTGAGTGGGTGAGCGGGTGAGCGGGTGAGTGGGTGAGTGGGTGAGTGGGTGAGTGGGTGAGTGGTGAGTGGGGTGAGTGGGGTGAGTGGGGTGAGTGGGTGAGTGGAGTGAGTGGAGTGAGTGGAGTGGAGTGAGTGGAGTGAGTGGAGTGAGTGGAGTGAGTGGAGTGAGTGGAGTGAGTGGAGTGAGTGGAGTGAGTGGAGTGAGTGGAGTGAGTGGAGTGGGTGAGTGGGTGAGTGGGTGAGTGGGTGAGTGGGTGGGTGGGTGAGTGAGTGAGTGAGTGAGTGAGTGAGTGGGTGAGTGGGTGAGTGGGTGAGTGGAAGAGTGGGTGAGTGGATGAGTGGGTGAGTGGGTGAGTGGGTGAGTGGGTGAGTGGGTGAGTGGGTGAGTGAGTGAGTGAGTGAGTGTGTGCGTGTGACAGGCGGGAGGAGGGACGGGAGGACGGAGGAGGAGGAGGAAGAGGAAGAAGGCGGAGCGGATACAGCACTAAAAACAAAAACCCCACACGTCAATGTGGGGAAAAATATAATGTATATATATATATATGGTGATCGATCTAAAGGTCCTTGTAAGGAGTTTTAATTGCGAAAGCCGTGCATGTTATGTTGGAAATCCTCGCGAAAGTTTTTTTTTCGATTTTGCGAAAGTAAAATTTTATTTCGCGAAAGTTTCGCGAAAGTTGGGTATTATAATCATTATATGTAAAGGGCTGCCACCCACTGCCGCCCGGGGTCCGGCAGGAAAAGGGCACCAGAGAATGCGAGTAGCAGTAGCCAAGTTT